ACTGGCCCGACCACTGTAACCGCTGGCCCAGGAACGTTACTTTTGATTCAAAGAATAACTGTCACCAATTTAGGCTACTCTTGAACGATTCTGATGCAAAAGTAAATTACAACTTTTATTTAATTAATTGAGCTCTAGTTATAAAAATATTGTGTATTTTTCTTATATTTATGTGCTCATGTTTATTCACCATGCTGGTAACTGTAAGTCTACTTAATCTGATATTAATATGAGGCTGTGATAGAGCTGGAATCTCTCCTTTCTTCTCTGTGAGAAACTCTTCATCCTTAGATCTTTACTTTAGGAGCTCTCTTAAGGGCTAAGATGCTTAGTGAATAACTTTATCTTTACCAGGATCTAGTCTTTAACTTTAAGGGGAAATTTAGCTGCAGCGTGTTCCAGCTCCAGCTGTCTGTCACTGTGCCTGAAACTTTTCGTCATGCCCTGCTGTCACTCTTGACTCTTCCGGTGATTTTTTCCCTTTGAATGCTGATTTAAGCTCGGCTTTTGTCGGGATCTGATGGTTTTAAAACCGTTTCACTAAACATGTTTTTTTATCAGAGAAAACCTGCGCTAAAATCTATGTGCGAATGTACAATTCCAGTGTAGCGAGCGCGCTCGCGGGAGTGACAGTGAAGCTGTCGGCTCCCTTTCAACTGTGACACACACACGAGCGTGCATGAGGGCTTATGATACGTTGATGCTGCAGCAGTTTAAAAAAAAAATATTACTGACAAAACAACGGTATGACAGGAAAGCGCTGTGAAATTGAGAACGTGTTACTGTCTATTTTTTTTTTCAGGCAGTATTTTAACTGGCCCGAGCGGGCCAGCTGAACGTGCAGTCAGCTGGCCCAGACTCTGTCAATCATTCATCCGGGCCAGCGGGCCAGTTATAATGTCGAGCCCTGGATGAGGATATTTAAAAATATATACTAGGCTCCTTGTGAAACAGGCAACTTTAAGGGCTCATATAACTTCCTGTAACCCAGAATTCAAAGAAGTAGGGACCCAGCACCAAATCACAAAGCTGCCGAAACAGGGGTCAGCTCAGGCCAGTGATCAGGCTGACAATCAGGAGTTGCTGGAGCCTTTGTAAGAGTTGCCGGATACAGACTTGAGAGTTATAGGCGTGCTTGCCTTCAAGCTACTGTGCTATATCTGGCTGAGGACATGGGAATTTAGCGTTTAGCTAACTTATATTGTGATACATTAAGTGATCATTTTGCGAAGTTTTCTTGACTTTTTAAATTTAAATAATTTTATCCTCTTTTGATTTGGTCAAGCTATTCACTTTTGGAGTGAAGAGCTAGTTCACTGTCCAGTTCAAAACTGGTCATACAACATAATATTGCTGTAAAAATGTTCTTACATGTCCATCGTAGACTTTAAGAATTTAAAAGTTGACAGTAGAGGCGTTGTAGATTTTGAGGGACAAAATCCCATTAGCAACAAAAACACAGTTATCATGAATCAGAAAGGGACTTTTATGCTTCTTTTCCTGCAGACAGTAGCTTGATGATGGCATGAGAAAGATATGTGTGGTCGTGTGAGAATCATATGAAGCAGCTTAAGGGCCTATGCCCCCTCCCCCCTGAGAAAAATAACAGGGGCCCTGTCTTCAGCAACAAGCTGGATGGGGCAAGAGAAGATACTTTGGTGACACAGGAATTCATAGGGAAAATAGTTCTTATACGGGACATAAATTAGATTAAACTTTGTAACTTGCCAAATTGTTTGATACTAACAAGTTCATGCTTATGAGGCTGTTGTCTTCCAGAAGTAAAGTCTTTTCAGATCAGCGTATAGTTAACGTTATCAAAGCTTCTTTTGTGTGTGAGAGAATGGTTTTCCGTTTCTTTAATCATGCTTTAAGTGCACACTGTCCTACTCTGACAGAATCTCAGTGCGAGTGCATTATTTTAACTGCATCATTTGAGCTAAAGCATTTCAGACTGTAAAGTTTGCATGCTGATTGAGGAAATGACCCCTTCAAGTGTACAAAGGAGAGCGATAGAAAGTGTGGGCAGTGTGATTCTGGACCGGTTTAAGCTTCGCTCATTGACTCAAGTCTGTCTGCCGCTCTCTTGCTCTGTGCTACAGGGATGACTGTCGGTAGGGAATCTCCTCGAAGAAATATTCAGGCTGGTAGCAGATAACTTTTAACTGTGCCCGCCCGGTCCTTAGCATCCTACATCGAGGGAACTGCATATTCTGCCAGCTTGCAGAACCCTCCTCGCACAATGAGGGAGAAGAACACTCACGTCCTATCTTCATAATGTGTTCATTATTCAAGCAGCAGTTGCCTTGAACTCAAACTTTTGTAGGATAGTGTTGTTGTTTTTTTTACACTGAATTTAATAATGCTGGCATGTTGCTGTAGCAGTGTGGGATTTTTTTGGAATTTCCCACTTTACCAGCAAGCCATCTACATAGTCATTGATTACCTCATCTGATGACTCATAATGACCTCTTCTCTTCAGAAAGGTGAAATAACTTAAGTTTAAAATACCTCTGCTTTATCAGAATCACAGAACTGATTACATCAGATCCTGTTCTACCAGTTCTGTCACGGTGTTGTGCTTTTTTTTTCGTTTTTTGACGGGACTGGTCAGTCGGCATTGAGCGGTCCTGGATAACCCACAGATGGAGATAAAATGGACTAAGAAAAGGACGGAATCAACTTTTCAACTTATTTCCAATTTTAGAAAAAGATAAGATAACAAGACACCCGTTGTTAGAAAAGGTAAAAGCAAACAATATCAAAATATCCATAAAACTGTATTTAAAATGTCTCAAACTATTCACTCAGTGTAATAGCAATCTGAAGGAACCGTGTAACCTCAGTCCATTACAGCCTACATTTTGGCTTTGCACAGTGCTAACGCAGAGTCTTCACTTTCAGAGGTCTGTCATTGGCCGAGGTCATTCTCAGTCAAGGCTAGCCAATGATTGAGCATCAGGCATTATGTAATCTCACCATGATTGATTGGATTATTCACATTAACGTAATTCACAACTCTTTTAAATTGATCGTTTATAAGAGCACTTAGAGGCAGTTTCCTCTGCTTTCAAGGGAAAGCCTTCAAACAACAATTCTGTTCAAACCAGTTTTAAAAAGTGTAGTATCGAATGAAGACTGCACTCATACATATTATAATTGTCATGACCTCAGTGAAGTAACTTTTAATGAAAAAAATCTGGATGAAAAAAGGTCTGTCTCAGTTCTCGCCTTTTACAGCCCTTCCTCCAGAGCACTGCTTCAGAGAACCTTTTTTCATGTCAGTTGAATATTTTGCCTGCTTGAAGTGAAAGAAGATTAAAGATTAGTCCAAATTAAACTTCTCTCTTCTCTGATATTTTTCAGAGTGCCTGTTTAAGAAGAGTTTGAAACCTCCCCCCCCAAACCATAGCGTCAGGACTGGGGGCCAAACAGGAAGAAAGGTATTACGGTGAGTTAACAAGTTAATGTGTTTCACTGGACAATGATGGGATTATTCACTAGTCCTGTAATGATGATTACACTGACAACATCTCAGAAGGAATTCATTCAAGGAATTTCTTTGTGTTTGCATAAAATATGGTGTTGCAACCCACAGGTTGTCATACATTACTGTACTTAACCTAGTGAGTGAAGATTCTTTCTGATGAAAACCTGTCACTGCTGTAGCTCCTTTTGATTTCACCTGAACATATCAAATTTAAAAGTTTTTTTTCAATTTTTTTTGATTTCCCAATGAACAGTGTTTTTTTTTTTTTTTTTTTTAAAGATTTATTTTTGGGCTTAGTTTGTGCCTTTATTGAAGAGATAGGACAGTGGATAGAGTCGGAAATCAGAGATCAGTGGGGAATGACATGGGGGGGAAAGGAGCCACATGTGGGATTTGAACCTGGGCCGCCCGCTTGGAGGACTGTGGCCTCCATACATGGGGCACGCGCACTAACCACTGTGCCACTAGCGCCCCCAATTAACGGTGCTTTTGCTGGTTAAAAGAAAGCAGGAGGATATTGTTCGTAAGAGAACATTTCACATGTACGTACAGAACAGGATAAGTACAGAGATAATTTACTGAAGAACAGAAATGAACAGTGACAGAGCATGAATGACAACACCAGTAAACTTTGGTCATTCAGTCACCTGTATTAAAAAAACAAACGTGTAATTTAACAGGAATCATAACTTATCCATATTTTGTTCTATGCCCGCCTCTGAACAGTTCAGACATGTATCTATGTTATCTATGAAAGCCGTTAGAAAATGTGGCCGTCTACAGTCCTTGAAGGCAACTTGAGGAATGTTGTGGAAGAAGCAGGAAACAAACCCCAACAGGGTGACTTAGAAGCCAGGTGCAAAGTGTATACAATATGTAATTATTTAATCTCTTCCCTTTGTCTTACTATCATGAAGACATAACAATAACGCCACCAGTGAATATTAATAAGCCCAGCTTTCTCAGAAAAATTCACATCAACTAGGATCCTCATCCGTTAGCTGTAGGCTAAACGACTCGTACCAACAGTGCTAAAGCAAAGTTTACAAAGGGGAAAATGTCACTCATTAATCACACCATCAATACAAACATTAACTATTGCTTTGAGTTCCGCAAACAGCTGGTAGATTTTTTTCTTCAAGAATTTCATCTTTTTTTTTTTTTTAAACAAATAGACAAATCTTCACAGCATGGGATCTCTAACTCGTCTACAGGGGCCGCCAATGCATCACAAAGTGAGAGACTGTCACAAGTGTTCCAACCAATAAATAAATAAAAAAATGTTACTTAATGAATTGGTAATGATTACTTTCCACTTTTTTGTTTTTTCAACACACATATGAACTGTTTTACAGAATAGAGTTGATCATGTTCCCCTGAAAGGCCAAGCACAACAAAGACCATAATCAGGAAAACACAGCAGGCTCTGTTGCTGCTCAGAGGGTGTGCTCTTAAAGTAGGTCCTGGTTTTGCCTCAACCTATCTGCTGTGAGGTTCATAGGTCACTGCTGTCTCATGTTTATAAACACTGTCTTGTGAAGAGCCGTGAGGTAGGCTTGTAACCACACTTAATGTCTTCAGCCTTCAATTGGGACGCTGTCATTCGCTCCTCAGCCAAATTAGATTTCACACACCACTCAAACAGGAGCTCATAGTGGTAAGTAGCTTGTCCTTCAATATCTTGAGGTTATTATATATCTGAGAGAAGTCAGTGGTTAGTTGTTGATCTTATTGAACATGATTTAAAAATGTTTTTTCTTTTTGTTTAATAGCACCACATGGTTGATCACCTGGAGGAGTCATATTCAAGTTAAATCGTATTTGGGCTGTTTTTTTTAAAAGATAGATTCTGCATTCATCTTAAACTAAAATGCTTGTCTACATTTCAACAGTAAATAGCGATTATAAGACGTTACCTGTATCACTTACATTGATTAAATTGTTGATAAAAGACAACACTTTTACAAAAGTTATTGATCATGTAGTATGGGGAGTAGGAAGTGAGTGTAATCTTACAGTCTGTAGCTGATAAACTGATGATGTTGTCTGCTGGATGATGAAAGCTTTGCTGCACAAACAAAGGCTTTGTTTCAGCCAAGTTGAGTGTTTTAGCTTGAGTGTTAGATGGCACATTTTAGAGGAAGGAATGCAAATATTATATATGGATGGTTTTAGGAGTTGCTTTTTCACTCTTGTCAAACAAACAAACAGAGAAACAGAAGCCTAATGCCAGACTTATCACCATTATGTTGCGTTTTAAACTGGGGCTCTTGGGTAATGTTATCGGAGTGATCTTTGACTTATGTGGTGTATAAGTTTGTTTTCCAGTTCTTTGCTTCTGATATCCAACAAGAAGTCAATGTAGTTATACTGTGATCTTTTGCTGTTGTTGTTGTTACTACAAGCCTACAGTGTTCAAGCTGTTGTTGCTAGCCTTGACAACTGTGCGGAGGATCTATCAGCAGCTTTATTTTTAACATTTAACCCAGCATGTGTTGTCTGAGCAGCATAAATCTATTCCCTCAAGTTGCTGAAGCTGTAAACTGAGTACAAACTCCGCTAACAAGCTGGCTGCTGCAAAACCCTGTTTGTGTTTGTGTGTTTGGTCTCTGCTGTGTGCCATCTTACCATTATTCACTATTCCTCATCTGACCTCTCGTTGCTCCTCTACAACTTCAGCCCCACCCCCTCCCCTCACACATCGACCACCCACAGGCTTTACAAGAGATCTTATGAGGATCATTTGACTGGAATGATATTGCTGCTTCAGGCTTTCAAGAGCCGGGGAAAACAAGCAATTTGTTGAACAATCCTCTGTAGAGAGTTTATTGTGCTCCAGAAAGTCCTTGATTCAGTTCCTGGACCTGTTATGCTACGCTGAAGGTAGCTGCTTAGGGTGCTTTAAATGTTGTGGTTATGAATGACGTGCAGGAATGTAGTATCAAATGGTTTATGTATAATTATATGTGAGCTGTTGCTGACCCTGTTGTTTCACTGCGAGGTGTCAGTGTGTGAGTGTGTTAGTGATAGGGAAACTCTGATTAGGCTTTATTGATCACTACATAACATCAGTATTGTTTAACCTGATATTGATGAGCAACAACAACTGTAACAAGAGCATTTTGAGTTTTCTATGTCACTCAGGTTCATTTTTCAACAGTATTGTTTCTCATGTTTACATGGAATTTCATTCATATGATTTAATCAGTTATTCTGCTAAATTAAAAAATAAGCTCAATCAGTATAGACACAGTTAAATAAAATGGACTGAACCAGTTTGGTTTCATATTTACTTTATAACCATAAATCATAACTTCTTGCTTTGGACCTCAAACCTATGAGTTTTACAACAAAAGTATATCTTTTAAGATACCAAATTTCAGTTTCATTAACATATTATTATCGTGATATAATCCTTTCAATATGCAGATATTTAAACAACCCGATACAGCGTTTTCAGTTGTGTAAGACGAGTAAAAAGTCAACAGTTTCTGGAAGGTAAAGATGAATCAACCACACGTTTAGATGTCAACCAAGGGGCTCTTATAACATTCATCACAAAATTGTGCATATCAAATGTGCACAGCTCAGAGTTTCCCTGTGAAGCACCTTTTTTTGTTTTACTTAGAGCTTTCCCCTACCAGCCGGCTTCAGTTGTCAGTCCTTTTCCTGAGCAAGCTTTACTTTCGTTTTAAAGTACATGATTAACTTTCTTTATGCCAGTATAGCAATTAGCCCAACACTTTATGTTCTTTGAGTAACATAGTGAAACAATTTTCTGATTTTTGCCACCTCTCTGTTTTGGCAGGGGAAAGAAGTAAGGGGACAATGCGAGTCCACGTGCACACCAAGTTCTGTTTCCTGTGTGTGCTCACCTTCCTCTTCCATCCGTACAGCCGCTGCAATGGAGAAGGGCACGGCCACCAGCATGGTGGACATCAACATGACAAACACCACCACGCTCACAACGACCTGCAGATCTCTGATGCTCCATATGTGAGAGGAGGTATTCCACCTCCGGAGGCAAACATTCATCATGTAGACTCTCCGGAGGAGGAACAACAGTTTTACATCCAGCAGCTGTTCAGGCGCTATGGCCACAAAGGCAGGCTAGATTACCAGGGATTTCAGAGTCTGCTATTAAGCTTGGGTCTGGGAGAAGTGAAGGTGGTAGGTCTGGATCATGATGATCTTGGCCATGACCACGTTGCTCACCTCGATCTATTGGATGTGAAGGATGGGCTTCACACTCATTCAACCACCAAAACAGGCCAAGGCAAGGGTCGTGGGAATTGGCATGGTCATTCCCACAATCCACATAACGAACAGGTTCCCACAGAGTGCAGCTATCACACTACTCCTATCAGTCCTGCTTCGGTGCACCTACAGGACTTGACCATAAACATGATCACAGCCATCATGGGCATGATCATGGCAACGCAGAGGATAGGGACCATAAACGTTCTGATGGAAATGTGAAGGACACACATGCCCACGGCCATGATCATGACCACGAAAAAGAGCACAAACCTGAGCAGGTACATTCCACCAACAAGGACCAGGCCACTCAACCTCCCAATGATAACGACCACAGCACTCACGATCACAGTGATCACGACCACAGCGATCATGATCACAGCACCCACGACCACAGCGACCATGAACATGAGCGAAAAATTGAGCAGGTACAGCACAACAGTAAGGACTTGTCATCTCAACCACACATCGATCATCACCATAGCAACCACGACCATAATGATCATGACCACAGTAATCATGATCACAGTGCTCACGACCATGACAAAGAACACAAACATGAAAAAGTACAAGTACAGGCTAATCAAAAGAACTTGTCTTCTCAACCTCATGGTGATCACGCTCACATAGATCACGACCACAGTAATCACGATCACGACCACAGTAATCACGATCACGACCACAGTAATCACGATCATGACCACAGTAGTCACGATCACAGCGGTCACGACCACAGCGGTCACGATCACAATGATCACAACCATGATAAAGCACAGAAAAAAGAACAGATACATGCAGGTTCTGATGGCAAAGACCTGTCCTCTCAACCTCACAATGGTCATGACCACGTTGATCATGACCACGTTGATCATGACCACAGTGATCATAAAGATGACCATGGACATCTCCACGAAGTGCCGACAGGTACAGACTCTTCACCAAGCGACCAGGTGCAGCAGCCATCCCAGGTCCTCCAGGCTCCACAACCATCTTCTGCCTCGACAGAAAGCCAGACAAGGAAGCTGAAAAAGCCAATTGGGGCCAGGGGACAGGTTGGAGAAAACAAAGACACTTCATTGCCCGATGACCATGATCATCAACATGGACACCATGACCATGACCATGACCATGGTCATGGCCATGGTCACAGCCATTCTCATAAAAGAAAGAGAGAAGCCCCAGGAAGTCATGCACATCCCACTCTGCCTGGCCCTGCCTCGTCTGTCAACGCAGAAGGGAAGTCTCATCAGCATGAGGAGGTAGGGCTTGTTTTAACTTATTGTCTGTAAATAGTTAGTGGCATCATGGCCTGTGGTTCCTTTTACTTATACTTGCATAATTGTTTTCCCTTCCAGTGTTTGAACCTGACTCAGCTCCTCACCTACTATGGCCTGAATCCAGACTCGCCCATCTCCCCGCGTCAGTTCACCTACCTGTGTCCTGCCCTGCTCTATCAGATAGATAGTCGGGTCTGCATTCGCCATTACCACCAGATGGATTTGGAGCAGGAAAATTCTGGTAAGTGCAAACTGTTTTATCGATCCACACTTTTTTCAGATGAAATGCCTCGTAGCGTAGACAGAAACAAACATAAATTACACAAATGCCAGCCAACCAACCCACTCTGAAATCTCCTTCAGGGTTTTATAAACACCCAAATGTAGCTGTGACCAGGAGACTGTCTGATGGGTTAGTTTTTCATATTCATCCGTTTTTCATTCAGACATTTTTTCAGGAGAATGTGTGTATTGTTATTATCCATATCAGATGTAAGGTTTGCCTTAGCACCTGTAGCTTCCACTGCTGAACAAAAAACTGTTTCTCTTTTATTCACAGCTTAAAGGTTCCTCCCATAGCAAAGAAAGGAAAGTGTATTGTTTTATACTCAGTATACAGTATTTATTCTCAGAAAACAACAAAGCTTCTCACCAATTTTTCTGTGAAACTTATTCACACTTTTTCACAAGGATTAAGTGACATTTAACCTCTAGTACATTATCACATTGCAACACATTTCATCCAACTCTTTAGCTCATTATTTTGTTGAAAGAACCCCAATAGTTAAAGTGATATCATCATGAATCTGAGCGTGTCTCCAACACTGACAAAAACAACAAGCCCCAGAGGGTTAAATAAAAACAAAAAAACAAACTGTGACATGGTGCAAAATATTGAATCACTGAATGGTTAAGCCTTAGCTGACTAATCTTATACTTCCTGTACCAAACAGTTCAGCATCTAAGACTCTTAGACACAGACACAACAGTCCTACAAAACTGTAGCACCTCCTGTGTTCGTCGTTTGCAGGGTATTAGTATTTTTAGATCTTAAAGGCTTTATATGCGTTTTATTTTTCATCCAGCAGATGTCGCCCTTGAGCACCAGCATGAAACCAAAACAACTTGCGGTGCACTGTTGTGTTAGCATGCTAATGCTAGCGATCTTTATTATGCTCGTATCTTCACACTGCATGAAAATTTACCCAAAATGACTGTGATCTAGAAACACAGTTAAGCAGTGAGTACAGTATGTTATTCTTCTTTTCTCCAGTCCCCCAATTAAACAACTTTTATACGAGAGGGCAGGAGTCTGCTGCCGTCCCAACGATGTAAAGAAACTGAAGACAGGACTCGGAAAACTCAGAAAACGTCACAGACAGTGGGACTCGGGTGTTACACTCACTGTAGACAGTCATGACTCACAGAGTTATTTTCAGAGGATATACTTGATTTCTATTACATTTAAGTGTGAAAAATTGCATATAAACCCTTTAATATAGAGATACACTTATTAATTATTTCAGTCAATCACAAATCCCTCTGAGCATATGATAATATCAATCAGTAGGAGTTACGGCGTAAAAAGAGAGCTAACCTTAGTGTGTAAATGTCAGCTGAGGATGTAGGATTGAGGCGCATTGACTTCAGGTTCTTGTCGAGAAGAGTGCATTTTGTGATCGACTCTCCAAAGCAGCTCTCATAGTTCGTGTTGGATGCTTTGTGTCCGTGACAGTGTATGACCTTGTAATTCAAAATTATAGTTGCCATGGCAGCTAAAGAGTGGTCCTCTCGTGTGTGTTTTTAAAATTGCTAAAGAGGGACTTTTTGGGCCCATTTTTGTGCACATATTATCGTTTGATGAAAATAGCTTTTTTGCTTTTAATGATGCCTCTTCTTTCAGTTTGTCTTCCAAATCCCCAAGTTAATTATAAACTGAGAGAGAGAAAACCCAGAAAGAGACGAGAGGATCAGCGATAAAGAATGAAGGTCAATGTTAAGCCCTGCTCTGGGACAGCACATTGTTTCTAAGTTTATGAGAATGCAAATCGTAAAATCTCAGTGTTTAAAGTTAATGAGTTACAGGTCGTGATCTGAAGCTCATAAAACCATAGAAGCTTTGAACAGATCAAACCACCAGCAGAAATCACAGTTTCTCTACACTGAACCTTCTGCTCATAGTTGTGCTGTGTTTGTGTTTAATTAGTCAAACGTCTAAATCTTTAGGAAGCATATGTATTCTAATGTATAGTGGAACTTTAATAGCAGTGAGACTGACAACACTGCATTAACATCTGGAGCATTTCTTTGTTCTAATGTTCTCTGTTCTGTCTGCAGTCTCGTTATTCATTAACAAAGTAGACGAAGAAGTTTCAGATATTTTATTTATGTTATTTTGTTTAACAGATTGTAAAAAAAAAAGTAACTATTTAGTGGACTTTGGGACAGAAAGAAGTTGTCAACGCAGCAGGATCCTGAGTCCAGCTGTGAAACGGGAGGTATTCCCACACTATACGCACTCTTAAACTTTTAATCATTAAACACACACTCCCCTCTCGAGAGACACCTACATATCGTGTGCCTTAGGCCACAGTGTGCCACCACTGAAAACAGTCATAAAAATGATAATGCCTGCAAGAAGACAGCATGAACAAGTCAAAAGGGCAGCGCTGACTTCTCATTAGTGAGGAAACTAGACGCGCTAGATTGTCTGCAGCAGTGCACCAAGACTCAACCATAGGCATCGCCACACGCCGTGAAGCTACCTCTCATTTGCCTCCCGCCAGCATCCATGGGGGAGCTCGGAAAATTTGCAGTTTCTTCCTTGTGGTCCCCACTCCCCTCTCTTTTTGTGTTGTGCCAATTAGGAGAGCCTAAGCGACACCCTGGGCCATTTTTTTTCTGAGCCATGGCTCACAGGAGACGCATAATTGGAGAGAAGACACAGACCGGTGGGTCTCCTTCTCCTCTACTTTGTTCTCTGATCACTGCCTGCTTTCACCTCAACCACAACCCTTCAGCACACCTTCCCCGTCTAATCACACACACAAAACACACACATGCACACACTAAAAAACTGCGATTGCATGAGGGTAATGAGAGAGAGAGAAGAAGATGAGCTTTAGGAGTGTGAAGGCCCTGCAGTGATGTACTGCAGGCTGATACACAGTTGCCTCTCAGGGTTACACAATGTTCCGCTTCATATGACAAATAGGAAAGCAGTTGACTGTAGCGCCTTCACTTTTGTGAGGCATAAAAATGGCGGTAACAATGAAGCGAGAAAGCAAGGGTTATTAAGGACATTGTCATTTATGACGAGATGTCCAGTGTTCTCCTTACTGACGATGAGGCTCTCTCCACAACACCTCCATGAAAAATGTCTAAATAGCTGCAGAAGAGACTGATGAGTATGGTCTCCTGCTGTAACATAAAACTGACAACAGTGTTTGCTAATTTATGCATTTATTTGCAGGTCGTCAAGCTTCCTGACCCAAAAAAACTGTATGTAGTTGGTGGATTCTTCAGAGGGACAGAGAGAGAAATACAAGTCACACATGTATGTTGTTGCACTTTGCATGATGTTTAGAAGCACTGTGCAGCTCAGAAAGTGCACAAAAGAAGGCCTAAGAGAGCTATGGTTGAAGTTCAAAGGTCCTGAAGGAGCAAAGTGCTCACTCTGTTCCTTTACACTTCACTGCATAGTCAAGCACATGAGCCTTTAAAGGCTGAATATGCGATTTTTTACACTTCAATTATATCTTCTGAAAATAACTTTGTGAGTCATGACTGTCTACACCGAGTTTTCCGAGTCCTATCTTCAGTTTCTTTACATCATTGGGACGGCCGGCCGACTCCTCCCCTTGCATATAAAAGTTGTTTAATTGAGGGACTAGAGAAAAGACGAATAACATACTGTACTCACTGCTTAATTGAATGTCACATAAGCGTTTCTAGTCACGGTCATTTCCTGTAAATTTACATGCAGTGTGAAGATACGAGCATAATAAAGATCGCTAGCATTAGCATGCTAACACGACAATGCAGCGCGAGTTGTTTTGGTTTCATGCTGGAGCTCAAGGGCGACATCTGCTGGATCAAAAAAAATCGCATATAAAGCCTTTAAAGAAACCTTCACGAAGTCACTTTTTCTTTATTACAGGGCAATGCATCAAAAAAGGCAAAATAACACTAGCATGAAAAACGAGTGGAGAAACAAAACTAACTAACGATGCTATCATACGGGCATGAGAGCTCAGTGAATAGTATGTTGAGGATTACCAGTAAGATGATGTAAATCAGCCATTATGTTGAGGCCTCATCCCAAGTAAACACTTACAGGAGGTATTTAAGCTAACTACGTCATCAGCAAAACACCAAGGGCCTTATATTTGTTCTTTACTTTAACCCCAGGTAAAAAAAAACAAAAAAAAAAAAAAAAAAAAGCTTACAACAAGTGGCTGTTTAATCAGCACTTACACATCAGGGCTGTCCTCTTCAGTTTAAATATTCCCCCCAGGAGGATCCCCAGCCTCCTGTTTTCCAGCGTCCTGGTGAGAGGCTCTCTTTGGTCATGTTTTTAAATCCTACAGCTGGGTAATGGGACAGTAACAGCTTGATACAGTCTCTCTAAAGAGCCCTCTGTCAGGCACAAGACATGTTTCAGATCATCTCTTCACAAGCGAGACCACCTGGGGCCGATTAGACGTGAAGAGGAAGTGTGTCTGCCAGCGTGATTTTACTATTATTAGTCATTTTTACCCTCCGGCTTTGTGGCAGCCTTGCTTCTTTTGTTTTTATGAAATAAACTTTAAGTAAGTAGCTGGTAGAAATATGTTGGTTTTAAGTAATAGTTAAATATTTGACCATGAGAAAGATGTCTCAGAATGTTCATCGTTTTAAGCATGACATTGAAGAAGCTGTTAAATCAGTGAGGAGCAGAGTTTTGCAGAGCTTTTGTTTGTTTTGACAAACTCCTGATATTGCTCACTGACGCCAGTTATCGGTTAGACGTGCATTACACAAAGATACTGTTTTAGTCGGTTGAATGTCAGCAGTGAAGCACACCCATCACCCACTTTGGCAAACATACCACCATCTTCGGTCTGACACTGAATTTCTCTCAACATGAAACATTTTGTCCTCTGCAGAAAGAATCAAAGTTTTTCCTCCTCGGTCTCGCTCTGTTTTGATTTGCTGACAAGTGGACTGACAGTTTGAGTGATAGTATACCTTTCTGACTTTTTCTTCTCCTGCTTCATGTGTTTACGTCTGAATGAAAAAGGAGGCGAGCGAAATTCTGCTGAAATGTCACTTCACATTTAATGCTGGAGGCGCTTTGTGTCATCACAAGGACACGCGTATTGAAAACCTCAGGAGGATGGTTTCCTTAGCATGCACACAGGAGAGGAAAAAAAAAAATACCCTCAGCCTGCAGCCAGATGATGAAGCTGTGGATGTAGTGTGGTTTTTATTTTATTAAAAATAGCGATTGACTTGAGCAATGACAGGTTTCAAATCAACCGAACAGGCCCTGTGTTGAGTTTAAAGTTTATTTTTTTGCCTGGACAGCTGAAGTCTTAGAAGTATTGGATTTGGATAACAAGCACTGTGCTCCTGCCGCTTGCTTTATAGTAAATGCAGAGGGAATACTGCTGTTTGATCATTGTCCATGCCTTTGTCTCTTTCTCCAGTGTTGGTGTGGCTCTGGGGCTTTGTGTCCATCACCATCATCAGCCTGCTTTCTCTGCTGGGAGTGGTGCTCGTACCCATCCTCAACCAGGCCTGCTTCAAGTTCCTGCTCACCTTCCTGGTGGCGCTGGCAGTGGGCACGCTCAGTGGAGACGCGCTCCTTCATCTGCTGCCACATGTGAGTATACCAGAGAATGATCTGGACAGTGGATTCAAACTTTTAATAGAGCGCAAGTCTTGATTCCCCCTTCATCGATCAAAAAGTCTAGGTTGGAATAATTCAAACCTATAAGACATTTTCTAACTGTTCTTACTTGAATTATGGATCCATAAAAAATGATTGGCCAGAGATGTGTGAGTGAAACTAGGTCTGAAATCATGGCTACTAGAACTGTCTTTATGCTCAATCAGCCACTAACAGGCTCGCAGCGCTGACATGCCTGGGTTACATCAGATCTCTTCTTCTACATCCTCTAACAGATGTGCTGTTAAGTATACTGCAGATAACCAATATAAATAACTTTCGCTCCAATACACAATGAATGGGGATGTATTTTTAATTGCTTAAGGTCGCATGCAGTGTGTGATGGTGGCTGCTGCACCCGCGGTCTGAGATTATAAACAGAATATTTTGTTGACTTAGGATCTCTGAGGACGTAATGTATGATTTTTAAGTTGTATGATCCTTAAATCTAGCAGTGTCTGCTGTTATTCTCAACAATAAAGAACAGCTGTTGAAGTGAATTCTTTGTAGGACATTGTCACGATCCAAAATTAACGCGTATCGAGATACAAATCGTATCGTGAGGTTGTGGGAAATACCCGGGCCTAGCTCTAGACTAGTGGACTAGTTTGAGTTTAAACTCCTCTGTTGTAGTGGTAGCTGACCTCCTTCTGGGTATTTCAAAGCCTTTTTCAGTGATACTGAAACCTCATAGTCCCTCTTCCTCTGACCAGTTGTAAGTACATTTATAACAAACAGAGATCAATCTTTGGGCAATCACAGTCACACAGTAAGTTTCATTTATCAGCCTCACCCTCACCGCCCATCCTGTCCTTTCTATTACAGTAAGAGGCGTCCGGGATTTCCATGTGTGTGGCTCCATGAAATAAAATCTATGTACTGATGAATGTGAAATCCTCCTCCATCCTTCTCTCGCTCATCCTCTGATCCTCTTTCTTTGTGCAGTCTCAAGGGCAACATGACCACGAGCACGGCGGGCAAAGGGCGAGCCAGAGCACTGATCTGGTTACTGAATTTGATGGAGTGTGGAAAGGCCTAACTGCGCTGGCCGGCATCTACCTCCTCTTCATCATTGAGCATTGTATCGGCATGTTTAAGCACTACAAAGACCACAAGGTGAGACAAACATGACCCGGCTGTAGCAGTAGACTAGGCAGGATAATCATCAGATACTGATGAGCGGTTGCTTTTCTCTCATATTTTTTCAGTTTTATTTCGTCTTGCTAAAAACATGAAATGATTTGAATTTAGAATATCTTAAAGCCTTAAAAAATTGTTTCCGTTCACAGGGCAAGAAGACGATCGAGGAGGGCAAGATTGGCAGGAAGTTGTCAGATCACAAGTTAAATCGGCGCTCAGATGCAGAGTGGCTGCATCTGAAGCCCATCAGTGAAGGTAAGAAGTATTTCAGACACTCCATGTTCACAGCAGCTTTGAACCTCAGATCGCTTCTAACTCTGCGGCCATTTTCAGACCATGACGTCACAGTCGTCTCCTGCGACAACGGTCACAACGACACGCAGATCACAGAGCTCCAGCCTCCCGACTCTCCCACCACCAGGACGCCCCTGGCACCCCAAATCGCCCAACAAGAGCCCCAGTCACCCAAAAAGGAGAACGGACACAAGGTGAAGAAGCACGGACACGGCCATGGTCACTCGCACGGACACGGTCACTCCCATGGAGGAAACTGTCACTCGGACCAGGAGATGAAGGACGCCGGTATAGCCAGCATCGCCTGGATGGTCATCATGGGTGATGGCATGCATAACTTCAGTGACGGTTTGGCTATAGGTAAGAGATTCTGAATCATCACTGTTAAGTCTTCAGTTAATGATCCATCACTGACAAATGTTTGTGTTGGCAGGAAATGAAACAAGGAAACAGCTCGTCTTTCCCCGTTTCATTTCCTGTATCTATGCTAAAGCAATTGACCAAATTGCACTTCCCCAGTCTTATAATATTAATTTATCCTTTATTAATCCCGCAAGGGGAAATTCGTTTTTTACACTCTGTTTTTTTTTTTACACTCTGTTTAATGAACATGCTACACAAACAAAGGCCGAAATACACACACATGCACAAACAGGATCCTATAGACATGCACTAATGGAGAGGTCTCAGAGTGAGGGGGCTGCCCACAGCAAGCGCTCCAGAGTAGTTTTTGGGGTTCGGTGCCTTGCTCAAGGGCACCTCGGCCGTGCCTTGGAAGTGGACTGGCTCCTCTCCAGCTACTCCAGCTGTCCGGGACTTCAACCGGCGACCCTCCGATTCCATACCCAAGTCCCTACAGACTGAGCTACTGCCGCCCCAGACTTTTCTTGCCCGTCCATTATGAATCTGCGACTAAAAATTCAGCCAGTCTATGAAGGGCCTCCAACAGACCTCCTACAAACAGCAGTTTGCCAGTCACTGATTTAATATAATAGAGTTCATAACAAAGTGACTGAATGTCCTAACCTCAAAAAAAAGAAACTTATTTTGAATGTGTCAAAGGACTAACTTATACCATAAGAGCCAAAAACATTATTCAATCAAATCAGGACACAGATATAAGAAGCTATAAGAGGCGTGTTGTCTCATGCCCTCAAAGTCTTCACCAAAGATTACTCACACTTCACATCCACCTGAAGTCGGCATGTCCACAGCTAGGACATTTGGATTCAACCTAATTGGCTGCTGGCTCAGGTTTCACATTCAGTGTACAGACATGAAAGTTACATCGATCGTCTCATATTTTCAGTGTATTTTCCCAAAATGTCAAACTTGTTCTCCCTGACATGTCCTGAACTTCTTGTCTGTGCAGGCGCAGCGTTCAGTGCAAACCTGACAGGAGGCATCAGTACATCAGTGGCTGTTTTCTGCCATGAATTACCTCATGAGCTCGGTAAGTGGAGTGCACCCAGAAAGTGTCAAAAAAAAACGAAACAAAGCAACTAATTTACTCATCACACACTCGACCCTGCACACTTCATCGACTCTACCGGTAGAACAAAGCTGCTTCTGTCAAGGCCTTGCAGTTAGCTCGCATAATGATAATCATTGTCTAAATCACTGCCTCATGCAAAACCGCTCGTTCCCTCACTTGAAACTTTAATCCGAGTCTCACGACCCTCTGTCCCTTGGAACTTGTTAAAAACCCAGTGGTGTCAATAATCATCACTCTTCTTTTCACTCCAGAAAAATGTACTTTTTTTTCCAGATTAATGGCTTTTGTCTGACAGCAGCGAAATGGCTTGTCAATGTGTCTGTCAGTGAGGATGATGTACCGTGCCTGGCGCTCATTGTTCAGTACAGTCAAGACTCAAAAGACGCTGCTGCAGCTGCTGGTGTGTTCATTTGCATTCAAATCGCTTCTCTCCGAGGACACTTTTGATTCAGTTGCATTCAGCAACAGTGAACACTTTTGTTTCCGAATAGTGTTTCTGTTTTTTTCATTACTCCAGTGCTCTCCTCTGCCCGTTTGTTTATAGTGCGAGGAAGCGGTGGTAAGAGTAGGGTGAGAAACGCAGACAATGGGGCCATCCAGAGCAGATCAGTACTAATGATGTGTCTCGTTGCGGTGCGCTTTCCATGCCTCGTTTGTGGGCTTGATGAATAGAGTAGTGTCAATTACTGCAGAGAGTGAACTGCTGAATAATAGCCTACGTTTGTCTGCCTGCTCCCCCTTGTGTTGACTTACTAGACCATCAGGCATCTTATTGTTGTGTTTCATGGGGGGGGGGGGACGACACAAAAAAATCAGCTTCTGTTTCAAGATTTTATTTGAGGAAGAGGAATAAACTCTTTGAATTACAAAGTCTGTGATCTTTGGCAATTAGCTGTTTTAAGTGCCAGGAAATCATCTTTTATTGGCTGCATCTTTGGGGTTTCAAGATGTTCAAGAAGACAGCTGAGAGCTAGCGTTCTTTTTTCTTTTCTTTTTTTCCACATTTTTTTATCCTATAACACTATTTTGGCTCTGTTGTACTTGAGTTTCCAGATGGTTAACTGCAGCACAAGTTCTATCTCAAACAACATTTAGAGGATTTGCGAGATCAATCTCTCCCCCTGTTATTTTACACTTCCTATTCGGCGTCCGCTCTTTAGGAGCAATTGCTGCCACGCTTTCACAAGCACAGGGCTGCTTGTCAGACCCACCCAGCAGTTTGACAAGAGCACCTCTCAGCTCCTCCTGAAAACAAAAGCCGTCCCCCTCATAGCAGCTGGATGGCAAAGATGATGATTATGAGGGTTCTTTAACCACCCAGAGTGAAGCTAATTGGCAGTGATGGGTGTGTTAATTGCAGTCGATGAGGCGGCAGCAGGCGTTTCTGAGTGCCTGATGAATTGGAACTGGGGAGACAGGAAACGCCAAAGAGAAAGTTGAAGAGGGGGGGGAGGCCATTGAAGTGAGGCGTGTGCGGACTGTCGCTCTTTAACTTCTCCCCCTTTTCTTGGGGTTTGATTGATGGGTGAGAGCAGAGTGGTAATATATTCATTGTGGTAATTAGCAAGGAAAAGAGGCCGCTTGTTACACGGCTCAGGAAATGTAGGCCACCCCCTTCTCAGTATTCATGTCTTTCTCCAAATCCAGGGCGTTTCCGCCGAGACTTGGGCCTCTTCCCGCGTTTGGCCCCAGCAATGATTGAAGAGGGTAGAGAGGCTACGGCATGCATATGTAATCACAAGTGTTTCAGCAGGGAGTTAAAGACATATTTCTTCGAGAGAGAGGCTCCTGATCTGTTTTGCACCTATTTGGAGACAGATAGTGGCAGCAGGTACATGGAGGGAGTTTGCCTTTGGTGACGAGGCGAACTTTTCCAAAGAAGAGTCAGAGAATGACATGTGCCAGGTTACTCACAGAGGAGGTTTATAAGCAGCAGAGTTCATGTCACTTTGCATGCTGTAAACGGAAATTAGACACACTGCTGTCAGTGGGGCAGCATCACACTTTGTGTCACTTTTATAAAGTGCTTGAATCAGACATAAGGTTTGTCACGATATCACAATTCAAAACTTGATACGAGACTCGTAAACTCAAAAGACATCAGTGCCTGTTCCCATTCAATGGAAACATAAATAGACGTTGGGTGATCTCATGTTTTTCGTTCATGGAAATGACACTCTAACTCCTGTACACTGTTGAAATCAGACAGTCGTCATAAAATAATCGGCACACGGCAGCTTTCCTGGTCAGATATCTGGAACAGACACATTTTGACGAAAGCAAAAAGTCGCGATCTTGGCGAGCGCTGAGCATCTGGAGGAATTAGTTCTTCTCTCCTGTGTCCTGAGCCACAGGACTCGACAGTAGCGATGAGCTCAAAATGTCTTTGACTTTCTGGATTTGACAAATGTGAAACCAGGTTACGATCCTTAACAACAATGGTGATTGTATGATTTCAAACACATGGTATCAAAAACAATTCCACATTATTGACGACTTGTACGCCAGAATGGATTGGCTAGAAGATTGACTGTTGCATGTTGGGATATATGTGTTTTTTTTTTTTAAATGAGTCTCTCCTGGCTGACAGGTGACTTTGCGGTGCTGCTGAAAGCGGGGATGTCAGTGAAGCAGGCCATTGTCTACAATCTGCTATCCGCCCTCATGGCCTACGTTGGCATGGTGATTGGCACAGCTGTGGGCCAGTACACGCACAATGTCACCAGCTGGATCTTCGCCATCACAGCTGGCATGTTCCTCTATGTGGCTCTGGTGGATATGGTGAGTTGGCACAACAGGCACCACAGCCCCACAGTGATAATTGTCCCCTAAACAACGTCAGCTTAACTTTCACTAACTCCTCTCCCACATGGGCAGTTAGTGCTCTCCTCTACCTCTTACTAATCTGCAATGCTGATTTCCAGGAAGTCTCTTTCTGATCCCAATTGGTCACTCTGTTTCTTTCATAGCTGCCAGAAATGCTTCACGGGGACAGTGAGGACCACAAGCGCTGCCAGCTGGGACACTTTGTCCTGCAGAATCTGGGCATGCTGACCGGGTTCGCTATCATGCTGCTCATTGCCATCTTTGAAGACCAAATCGTTTTTGATTTCGGCTTTGATTAAAGAAGAGACAGGGGTGGTGGGGAAATGTAGTAGGAGAGGGGAGAGCTGGATGTATCAGTATTGTTCTTCTTGGCCTTATCATGCTTTGTTTGCAATGTAACGGCCCAGTCTTGCATGCGTTGTGAGTCTCGTTCATGGCCTGTGCCTCCATTCCAAACAAGCAGCGGTTAGCTTATGCATATCACATGACTGTGCCAGTGGTGTTTACACTCTGCTCCTCCGTCAGCTCCAATCTGTCCGCTCCCCTAGAAGCAAAAAAAAAAAAAAAGAGAAAGAAAAAAGGCTGAATGAAAGAAGAGCGGGGCTGCTATCCAACCAGAAACACCTCTGCTCTGAACCAGTAAGCTCCATCTTTTTAAAAAAAAAAAAAAAAAAGAGCTGGAAGGTGTTCCTGCAGAGAACCAGCTGTCACGGCCCGGCAGCCCGCCGCCCATGCATCATCACCTGTTGTTGTTAGTGTGTTGTTGTCCTCGTACTCCGCCCCCACGCCTCTTCATCTCTTATCCACCCTGTGCTGTGTCCCATCATCCATGACTCGTACATCTGTGGTGTGTGTTCCACCCGCCATCCGTCATAAACTTTTGATGTGATCACGCTGTGTACCAAACATCCCGTGTCTCTCTGTGCCAAGCCCTGGCCACTGGAGCAGAACCACAGCTGCTCCACACACACCGTCACAGTGTCCTTAAAGAGACGTGGAGTTCAGCGCTGCTACTTTTTTTTTTTTTTTACATCTGAAACAAACCCTTCAGCTCCTGTGGCTTCTCCGGTCTAAATAGAAGAGAGTGTTTTCCTGATGCTTCGTGGGAGATTCCCAAAATGATTCAGTGTTTTTATGATACCACTTAATCCATCTTTGACTTCAGATTTATGTTTCAGTCTAATTTGATTTTTGGGATTTTTAACACTAGTTGATGGTAATTTCTAACACAGCTGCCAAAACTTTAGCAGTTTGGCATTAAGGACTAAACAATCTTTAAGAGCTAGATGTCATAAATGTCTGATCACGTTTGACAATCTGTCGCCAAGGGAGAAACACCGTCGTTAAGTCTTCATGCTCTCTTTCCTTTAGATCAGCAACTTTAAAATGTGAATTCAAAACTACTCTCACCAGTCTTAATCAATAAAGTGTAGTTGAGATACAGCTAGGTGCTGCAGTGGATATTTAATTACAGTGGGAGGTAGAGTTTGTAGATTTTTTTTGATGTACTGTAAATACATGCTGTCTTCGTAGTGTCAGTAGTTTAGCAGCTCAAAGCTTATCTTCTTTCCTGCTGAATCGATTTTTAAAGTACCTCTGTCAAGGACTCAGTGAAGCTCCTGACAATCAGAGGGAGACCAATCAAAAGACAGAACTAAATGCTAGCTGCTTTCAAACGACAGCATTCCCTGCACTTGTAATAGATGTTAAACTCGCGTTATTGAACCTTGTGATTTTTACTTTTATGAATATTTTTTACTTATGCTTCTGAGGGTGTCTGTTGAAGTCACTGACTGTGCCAAAACTGGTCTCAGTGTGGGCTTTCAGTGGCTGGTGCTTGACACTGCCCCCTCCCCCCCTCCCCCCAACCCCTCCCTAACGCCCCGACATTCCATTGGCTGTTCTGCGGCTCACATGCTAAGCTAACTAGCTTCAGCTGCTGGAGCGCACACGGGTAACGTGTGTGACTTCATTTATCCTGTCACTGTGTGACATCATCCATCTTCTATGTCTAAACTGGCTGTAAATCATTGTCAGTCACATCGAACTCATGTTGTTGATCTGACTGAATCATGCATGAAGCATGAGTGAAACAGTACAGACGTTGTGCTGAGTGTAACTTTGTTTTCATTCTTTGTACTGCAAAGTTAAAATATTGACAACCTTTGTTACTTTATAAAGAAACTGTGTGAAGATCCTCAGAGGTTCTTCAGGTGTAGTGTGACTGGTGTTATGAGCCTTTTCGATGATGCAGGTGTGAGAGCACAGAACTTCTCTGCATCACTTTTTTTTTCTTTTATAGCATTTTTTTTTTTCTTTGTAGGTTCATGTTTGATTTAGGTGCACACTATCGTTAAACAGGACCTGAATGTAGTTTCAATCTGTTCTCTAAACAAGTTGTAGTTTTTTGACATCAACTAATTAGCTTTCTTCAATACTCATTTTGATTCTTTAGTTTATATTTATGTTTAGAGGGTTCTTTTTTCTAGAAACAGTGTTTTTCTCGTTGGTATTAATTGTTTAATTTAAATCAAAACGTTTAATTAGAGTTTGACACTTAATGAAACTACGACCCAAATACAGATTCTGTTTACTTTCTTGGGCAGCAAATTGTGTTGAAAATGAAGGTCTCTGATTGCACTCATTCTCGCTTTGTTGTACGTTCATTTGTTTAGTCATCTGGATATAAAATGCAAAATGTGACATCCTTGCTGTTTGCCTGTCTGTGCTTCTCCCCATTATGAAAAGGACAATAAATTCTGGAAAAAATCTCCGACTCCTGATCTGATGGTTCAGAAACCCCCTCACCTGTAACTTCATGCTGCTCATGTTGTGTGTTTGTATAGGGACAGAGATACCGGTACATGTAGATCCCACTGTTCTGATTGCATTTAAATACTTTAATTAACATTTTATAACTTATTTGATTCTAGAGTTTTATTTTAGACGTAAGAAAAGTCACAATATATTGTACCATAAAGCCATCATTGTGATATTAGGTCTCTAACAAATGCACACAGCCCTTGTGTTCTGCATAAATATCATTTCTGTTCACATTCTTGAAATCACATATCGTGGTTTTTGTGTGAAACCGACTGAGACTAGGAGCTGAGCTGGCAGAGCAGAGCCACCCCTCGTCTGATCCAGTGTTCAGCAGGAATGTCAGAGTTCAGTGTCATTCCAATGACGTAGTTGGTTGAGTGGCCGGTGGTGGACAGGGTGCCACGCCTCTCGCTCGTCTTGTAGACTGGCACCACATAGCACATCCTCTGGGGAATGTCCTCCCGCTTGACAGGCTTCAGCCACATCTGGCAGAAAGAGAGGAGCAAGGAGACGGAGGCGTTACACACAAGCAGACGGAGAGCAACACGGTACAATGACTTATTTATAATTAAACTCAGGTTGTCACGTTTTCTTTACTCGTCTTCCATTAGCTAATTCAACCAACAGTCATTGGAATTTATCTGTTGTTTCACATTCAAAACATTTGACTAGTGGAACAATTAAACTGGCAAAGTGAATTCTGAACGCCTCTGCTGACATGCAAGAAAGTGAACACAGAGAAATGTGACAAACACACAATGAGGGGTGTGGCCACCTTTTATAGCTGGAGGTCAAAGGGCACCACAAAATATAACAGTCATAGTAACAATGAAAATCACACAAGATGAACTGAAAAAGAGAAAAACTATTGTACAGAAGGTGGTAAAAGAGACAATTAAAAAAGTGTCTTCAGCTGCATTTTAGAAGCATCAATGGAAACTACAGAGCGTATATGCACACTAATAATGTTCCAACTGGCTGAAGCCACAAAGTCAAATATATTTTAATCAGACACGTGGTGGAACAACAAGAAGACCTTGGTCAGGAGAGGTGAGGGATCTGCTGGGGATTAAGGGATGGAGGAGGTCGGAGATAAAAAAAAAAAACAGGTGCCTGATCATGCGGGGCTTTATAAATAAAAACAAGCATCTTAAAATGAATCCTGAGTTTCACTGGAAGACAATGTAGAGAAAATAAGACGGGTGGAATGTGAGTTTACCTGCTTGACCTAGTTAAAAATCTTTTAGGGAGGTCTTATTGAGGAGGGGTGGAAGGAAATTGCGGTAGTCAAGCGGGGGAAGATACAAAAGCTAGAAAATGGTTTTAACTCTGCTAAACTAAAATATGGCTCAAAAGTTATGTTTCCTAAAATAAAAACATGAACGGCTTCATGCTGTTATGTTGTTCTAAAAGCAAAATGAAGCCTAGATTTTAGGGATTCTATTTCACAGGAAGTGGGAGGGATACAATCGGCGCAACTTTGGAGGAAATAATAAGACCTGTATTTTTCCTGAGGTCAGGACAGAATGTGTTAATCCATGTGACACAGTGACAACTAGTCTGGGATGCCATCAGTTTAACCCCAACATTAATTTACTACCGGTAATAGGGGACATACGCCTCTGAAACAAAAGCAATAACAACGAGGAGTCTCCTTGGGCTATTAAGAAGTCTTGGTTATGCAAAAGGGATAAACTGGGCCACTATAAAAAATAAAAAAAACCTCTTTAAAAACAAAACAAAAACAGTTTGTTGAGTTGCAAGCACTAAAGTTCTCAGCTGGTTCCATAACAGGCACCGCTGTTACGATTTGCATTTCAAAGGCAGCCATGAAGCCTCCACGCACAAATAATAAACACATTTTTAATTAAGTTCTGCTCTCGTCAAAGCTGATTCTGCCCTGAAATGTCAGAATAATAAAAGTCAGTCTTGTGCATTATTCATTAATCATAACTGCATCGAGAAGACGAAAGAACGGAGGGGGAGAAGAAAAGAATAACAAAGAAATGAAAACTTGATCAGTGCTTGCTGTCTGCCATCAGCACTCTGTCTCCACTGCTCTGTCAGTCTGCTTTCATTTCAAACTGTTAATTAATAAAAGAAGGAGAGAACTGAGAAGCAGGCTTTCTACAGGCGTACTGTTAGCTGCTGCTCAGTTTTATGTCCAGAGAAAAAGGAGCTGAGAATATCCTCCTGGGTAGAGCTTCAGCTGCTCTATGGTGGTTGTTCCCGCTCTCCTTGGAGACTTACAGTATTGGGTTCTGATAAAGGAAAAGTTTCCAAGCCGAACAGCGATGGAGTCTGGCCCATTTTCATAATATGATACGTGCACAGTCCCCCTTTACCGACACCCAGAGGGATCAAAAAGAGCAGAATCAATAAACCTCCTTCCATCAAACTTTATGGAAGAGTATGATATGCAACAAGGATTGTTTTTTTTCACCTGTTTCCTGTAGTTTTCTTCTGTTTACATTTAAGAGTGACTCTCAGTGAGTGAGGTGTTAAACAAGAACCATAAAGACAAAGTAAACTTTCACGTTTGTTCCTACATATTTTCATTTCAGTGATAAAAAAAAAAAAAAAAACATTAAAAAAAGGTGCCACCTGTAAAACAGCAGTTTGAATGTTGATTCCACTTAAAGGGAACAACAATCCTAATTTCATAAGAAGTCCTACAAGCTTCTTGAGTCCTCAAAGCATAAAATGTATCCCGCAGGTTGAGGTTCAAAAACCATTCCTGGTTTCGGTAAAATAAGTTGACAGAACAATATCACCATAAGGTTCTTCAGTTTAGTCCAAGTGTTTAAAAATGAAGGCGATGCTGAAGAGTAAAATCCTGCAGTTTGTCCAGTGTCAACCTGCAGCTAGCTGCAGAAGCACCAGAAGTCACATACACACTCAAAAAAAAAAAACCCTGTTTACAGCAGAAATTAACATGTGTACAGCCTGGTTAAAAAAACTTAATAGGTCTGAATAGCTCATGTCATGATTGGCACACTCTGCACACGGGGTGATTTTTTTTTTGATAACTCATCCCTTTTAATTTTGATTGAGGGGTTAAAGCACGTAGCCGACCTGATGGAGAGGTGGGCGCAATGTAATTGTTTGTCAAAAGGCTTAAAACCCGCCTCAGCGCTCGCTCTTTGCCTGTCATTAGGTTGACTGAAAGTTAGGTTGAGACAGCATTTTTTAAGCATATGGACCTCTATCGATGGGACGCCAAATCCCCCCTGCAGTAACAGATGGATGACGTCCCTCAGGCTTTGTGGACAGGAGTAAACTAATACGACAACCCCAGGTAGTATTGTAAAAGAAAAGGATACACTTTAGTATTGTGATCAAATATGTTTTGATACTGCATCGATTACTTAATAAATAATTCATTTTTTGGAAAAGGTTATTTTACTGATACGTGTATTTATTTATTTGCTCAGACGGCCAACAAGTGGTGCAATGATGGATGGAAGAGGGACTTTGATACATATTCAGGTCTCATTGTCCTCTCCACTTCCTGAACCACTGCTCAAGATTCTGACAGGAAACTAAACTGTCAGGTGGACCATGAGGCACTCCTTAATCAAAACAAGATGGCTGCCAGGCATTGCCTTTAAAGAGAAGACAAAGGGCTGTGGGTAAAAAAATAAAAATAACTTCACAGCATCAACAAACTAACACTCAGACTCACACAGTATACAGCACGGATAGAAGGGACTGTCTACTGTCACATTGTGTAAGCACTTTGCAATCCGGATGCACCCATTGGCCAGAGAATTAAGTATGCATTTGAAGGAGCCTTCGAGAAGCCTTCAGATGCGCTCTCTGCATGATGCGACCGTCAAACTGGGACATAGCCTACGTTAAGAGTGTGTGTGTGTGTGTGTGTGTGTGTGTGCTTTGAGTTGTTCTTACCACAGGCATGGGGTCGTGTAGAACTTTTGGGTAGGACTCGGCAAGAAGTTTGGTCTTTCTGTCCCAGCGTGCTCCATCGAGAAACAGACCTCTGATGTACACACCTGAGTGTCGGACGAAACACACAAACAGAGCCGCAGTCAGAAGGTACAAGAGAAGTTACTCATTTTTTTTATAAAGATTATCGTTGCTACAGTGAGGGTTTGATTTTCAGAAAAGAGAGAAAAGCTCTGAATCAAACTGTAGTGACCTCTATGTAATGAACAACACTGTCTTTATACAAAGCGTATGAGCCCTGCAACTAATGGGATGGGAAAAAAGGACAAGATTTAGAAACAACTGACTGTTGCAATCCCGCATCACACACCCAAATGCACAAACACTGTCAGATTTGCAGCTTGGCGGCAGAGGCTGTGTTATTGTGTTGGGGCCCCAGCTGGGGACTGATTGAACGCGAGGCTTAATGTGAGACTTTGACTGAGAATCTCACAGCAGAGCTGGAGGCACAGCGAGGGGCTGACGCAGGCCTGCATGCAGACGAGAGGCGGGGAGGCTTTGCTTTAACTTACTTTCTCACTTCTACCACTTGGCTTCTCTTATAGTCAGTCAGCCTAATGTCACTTTCTATGTGTTTGATTCTTCTCTTCCACCCACTGCTTCTTTCACTTTCTCCTTTGATTCCTCACTTTTCATCTCCTCGTACCCCTTTTTAATCTCCCCCTGACTGCTTCCCTCCTCCAGTGTTCTCTATCTCTCTGGTGGCTTTTCTCTTGTATCTTTTAACTAAGGGATAGTTTCATGAAAAGGGCATGTTCATCCCATCTCAATTGATATATCCCATCATTTTTCAAACTGCCCTCCTTCCTCATTCCTCTCTGGTCAGTATCTTACCATCCGCTGGGGGTCGTTTGTACTGTTTGTCATCCAGGACCTCGAAGTCGAAGCTGAGCAGATCGATAGGGACCGTGTGTTTCCTGGCATAGTTCTGCTGGCTTCCAGTGAGGAAGGCCTGCGTGAAGAAGAATCCTGACACCCAA